ACACATTAGAAGCTGAAAGAAAAAACAGTAAATTAATTAAACAGTGGCATAGGGATGGGGGGGGGGTTTCTTTTTTTAAAAAATAAAATTATTTTAATTTACTATTTTTATTCCTATTATGAATTAGCACAACCTTAGAGAAAATTAGACCTTTCTTTATAAATTCAAATCAAAAATAGCAATATGATAATATTAGTTTTAAATAATATTTATTTTTGTAAAATAAATTTTTAGTTATAACATTTATATAATTTTTGTATTAATTCTTAAACTTTATGGAAACACTATTTTAATCAAAGTACTGTGTATTATTTATATATTTTTTTAAATTTATATTTTATGTAATTGTTAAATTACATTTTTTTAAATAGTTTTTATATAATAAAAATTTTAAAATAATCTATATAAAATATCTATATTTTAAAATTTATTTTAAATATTTGCATAATATATAACAAATTTTAGAGAGTATTTCATTATAGATTTTATTTATTATATAAAAATACCTTAGTAGCATAAATTTCCTTTATTTAATCATGCATTTATTTTTATTATTAATATCATTTTATTAGAGGTGAAGGTGATTATGACAAAATAAAATTTTTAAAATTATAATCTATATAAAATATCTACATTTTAAAATTTATTTTTAAATATTTACATATAAAATATAACAAAATTTTAGAAAATATTTCATTATAGATTTTATTTATTAAAAATACTTTAGTAGCATAAATTTCCTTTATTTAATAATGTATTGATTTTTATTATTAATATCATTTTATTAGAGGTGAAGGTTATGACAAAATAAAATTTTTTAAATTATAATCTATATAAAATATCTACATTTTAAATATTTGCATATAAAATATAACAAAATTTTAGAAAGTATTTCATTATAGATTTTATTTATTAAAAATACTTTAGTAGCATAAATTTCCTTTATTTAATCATGTATTTATTTTTATTATTAATATCATTTTATTAAAGGTGAAGGTGATTATGACAAAATAAAATTTTTAAAATTATAATCTATTTAAAATATCTACATTTTAAATATTTGCATATAAAATATAACAAAATTTTAGAAAGTATTTCATTATAGATTTTATTTAATATATAAAAATACTTTAGTAGCAGAAATTTCCTTTATTTAATTATTAATATAATTTTTAGAGGTGATTATGACACTGTAATAGAGGATGAAGATATTATAATGCACTATCTGAATTAGATTGTCTTTAAAATTTGTCAAAAATAAGGTTACTAAATGGGAAAAGGATTTTCCTAATCAAATAATAAGAACTAGTCAAAAAAAATTAGTTATTTATCTGCCAGGAGCTCGAGAATATGGAAAAGAGGCACACTCTATAAAAATGTTTTGACTTGTTCATAACATCAAAAATGATTAAAGAGAAACAATCAAAATAAAATAATTATATTTTACTTTATAGCTTTTCCTTTTCTTCCATTAAACTTTTTCAGCAAATATAACTTGTTATGATTTGATATTTGATAATAGGAAATAAAATAAAACGAGATATCCACTAGGAAAATTTAATTACTTCTTTTTATTTTACTTGCAATAAAATATTTGCGAATAATTACGAATATTTATATATAAATAATTTCGAATAATTTTCCTCATTGTTCATAGAATAATTGTGTTATTCGTATTCGTAAAATAAGAATCGAATATCAAATAATTCGTTTTAGGCCTAAATACGAATCGTTTCCAGGAAATTCCCGTGATTTAGATTTTCATTTTCAAAGTGGCTAAGTGTTTCAGTAGCATTTGATCCTCTGTAAGGTAAGTTTTATTTGCCTAAATCTTTATTATCTAGAATATTTGTTTTATTATGTGGACATTGTTATAAATTTGTCGATTTTTTTCATTTAATATTTTAACACTAATTGAATTATCAAATGACTTGTTTTTTGAAACTCTGAGGTAGGCCTCGACTGTTCTAAATGTATTTTAATTACTGAATGCATATGTCGAAAATTTGTTGTGAAAGTGTTTTCGCATACTGCAAATTCCAGGCAGATTGAGCAGTACAAAGTTTTGGCTTTATTGCATATTAGTTTAATTGTAATCCAATTTTCTAGGTATTTTTTCACTCTACCATTCGATAATATAATTTATCATATTTACTATTTATATGTTGTATAGGATGTTGCATTAAAAATGTAAGTTTTTGAGGTATAATAGCTGTGTTAATTGCAACTTAAAAATTTCACGTGTATGCATATCCAATTCTGAAGGAGATACTGTAAGATCCCCTGAATCGATTTGTGGCACATCTGGGAAGGAGCTCTTTAAGAATAGATGTTGAAATTGTTACAAATGAATGTGACGTTAATATTCCTATACATGGTGAAATTGTTTACGATATCAATAATCCACTTTGTGAAATATCTGAAAGCATTATTTATGGTTGCTTCTGACAAATGTGAGGATAATATAGATGAAATTTCTGTGATTGTAGATAATGTATTTTCAGGGTATGTGATGATTTATCTGCTGTAATGGTGGATAATATAGTTTTAGGTGGGTGTGGCAATGATTGAACTGATGTAATAAATGAAGATGTTGTAGACAATGTAGTTGTTTCAGGTAGATGTGAATGGAAGGCAGTTATTGATATTTCTAAAAAAAACAGTTTTTTTACACAAAGTAATAATATTAGACATACTTGGTATTGATTTATCAAAGAAAGATAATTTAAGCTGTTTTAGATCAGCACCAGCTGCTTTGAGACCAGCAGCATTTTTTTTTCAGCTTTGGCATTTCTATGCATGATATTTAAAAATATATCAATTTAACTAAAAATAATACATTGTATACACTACCCATGATAAATATAAACAAGATAAGTGTAAAATTAAATTTAATTTTTTTAAAGAATTGTATTTTAATATAAGGCAATAAAGTCATCATGTTAGGTTATCCTTTCATATGATGTTGCATAAAACATTTACTACTAATAATTTATAACTAAGGCTAAAAAAATATCTCAAGATGTGAACTGGAAATTCAAATAAAATTTATATTTCATATAAAATTACTTATTTTTATAAAAATCTGATGAACCAGTCAGTAATAATAAAAAACATTATATTAGGTAATATTTTAACAATTTGTGTTCGTTGAGCTTAGTTAGTAATAAAATAACATAAATTTACAATCAATTAATTAATATTAAAAAATCAAATTGATCAAAAATTATTTCATTAAAATTATACCTGGGTTTTATTTAATTTCTATGAATTAATAACAAATGTTGGCTATATTATTTCTACAATAAATTAATGTATAAAAATATAATATAATAAATTAATCAAAACTTAGCTTTCACTCTACTCAAACGGAAGCGTTTTCACTTCATTTGAAAAAAAACAAAGAAAAGCACGTGGTAATGATGTATAATCAAGCGACGTTATTGATATTTTATGCATTAAAATATAGTAAACAACATGAAAATTATGAAGGAATATGATATACAAATAATAAGATATCATTAAAAATAAATAAATGATAAGAGAAAATAATGTGAACATAAAATATTTTTTTCTAATCGGCCTCTTTTTTGATATTTTCCTCTGATAGGTCTCAAAAATCGATACTTTCTCGCGGCGTCGTGGGCAAAATTCCCACCTGGTCTTATGCCCAGTCGGCCCCTGTTCTTTTCCCCTCTCTTTGCTACCTTAAAATCCATCTCCTACTCTCACGCAATGAAGCGAACAGCCACGCTAACTAATGGGAGATCTGATGTTCAGATAATGTAAGTAGTTAATTGCGTGTTAATGAGTCACATGGTTTCAGTTTAAATAAAACCGGAATTATTAGACGGAATTTATTATTTACTACCAGGGAGCAAAGTGCATTTTAGCTATCCTATATGAACATATAAAAATGACTCAAGCGGGATGTCCCAACTAAACAGAAGCACAGCCCTAACATCTATCTTTTCATAGTGATATTATATTATAGTTTTTAGTTATAAAAAGAGTAATTTATATTCTATTATAATAATATGCATATTTTATAAGGCTATAATAATATGCATATTTTATAAGGCTATAATAAATTGTCAATAAATAAAAAATAATGTAGGCAGAATCAGTATTAATTTTTTTTGGCCCTAAATTATAAAGGAGGTGGCGAATTAAATTTCTAATTTCTCCACCAACAAAAGAGAAATATCTGATTCATCCGTCATTTTTGATTGGTTAACTGCTAGTTAAGAATACTATACTATTGAATAATAATTGTTAATGGAGTTGATTGAAATTATTGAATTTTGAAATATTTATAAATATTTACAAAAATATATTGCTTCGAGTATACTTATAATTATAATTCATAATACGATAGGAATATTTGATCGGATTTTATTGTGGGAGCTCTGAAGATTTTTAAAACCGAAAATATCATTAATTTATGAACTATGTTCCATAGATTTAAAAAAATACTATTTATTAAAATAAGCTTTAAATAATTAATTAAGAATTTTTACATGATAAATATTATGTTAAAGTATTGAATATTATAATAAATTGGTAATGAAGGTAAAATTTATAACTTATTATCAGGTAAAGGCATGAGTTACTTTTTTTAAAAGTGGCAAGCAATTTATGATAAGCATTACATTGCTCTTAGGAAAGATGTTAGATAACAAAATCAAGAAAATTCATTGCGATGGAAATCGATATATATTTGCTCCCATCGTCATATATTTACATGACTTTGGTATCCAAAACCAATACCATTTTTTTACTTTGTATTTTAAGCATTTTGATTCGATGCTGCGCTATCGTGCTTACTATATATGATGCGTAGCATATGTTTTGAAAACTACAAAGCGCCATCATCGTGTTCACCAATATTCACTCTAAAACTAGATCTAATATTGGCATAAAGTATTTTTTATTTTCATCAGCAAATTTTTTTAATTCAATGATCTATAAATTATAATAAACATTTTTATATTATTATTCCAATTTCGTTTTTTTTATAAAAAAATATATAAATAATATAATGCATGACAAATTATTACACATTTTTGAAGATGAAATAAGATTCATCTAAAGTAATATTTACAAATCTAGTAAATATGCGCATAATAAATAAATAAAAATCACCCATAGTTTAATGCCCCAAGAACACCCTGTAATATAAAAATATCTATTTTTAAAAATTTAAGTTTGGCTAGACTTCTATATTATTTTTAAGATGATGACGGCTGCATGGCAAATATTTCGGTTAGATTAATTTTCCTGCCAAAGGCTTCTTTTGAATGATTTTGTAAATCGGTTGCATTATAATCGACCTTACATTTAGAAGGGCTGGGAAATATGTGGTTTATAAGGTTAGCTCGAGTTTTTATCGTAGATGTGTTATTGACGATGGTTACGATATTTTGTTGACACAATTTATCGCATACAATAAAAGAGTTGCTTTTTTTGACTAATGGTTTAAGCGGCGTTAGTGTAGTGCGTAATTGATTTTCGTCAGATTTTATAACCTTTGGCACCTTAAATAATTCGGGACTGTTAAGTATCTTATCGCTGATCCTCTTGGTGCGTCTATCCAAGAGCGGATGATTGATCATACGTTTGGGAATTAAATAATTTACAAAAGGTATTACCGGCGAATCATTGAAATTTTTAAACTGCATTGCTCTGGATAGGCGGTTCTTATTTTTGGTTGCATTATCGGGTAAAGAAAGTGTCGATAAGGAGGATTCGGTAGAGATGGAAGATTGAGATGAAGTGAGATGCCGGGAAAGCTTGGCGAGGTAATTCCAACCCACCCTAGATTTCTTGTGGTGGGATTTTTTTTTGCCGGATTCTTTAGCAGCGAGTGGACAAATGAATCGGGAATTTGAGGGTAGTATTTTTTCGCAATCTTTTAAAGGGGTTAGATGAATGTTATTAGACTTTTTGTGAACAGATGTGGGTGAATATTTTTGGGATATAGTTTGTTTTTGTCGTGAGAGCTTTGAAGAAAGAATTCTTATGGTATTGCGATCGGGATCTTGCTCGTCATTCAAATCTAAACAGAGTTGATCGTAAATAAATTTGCCAGTTTCTAAAGGCACATTTATCATTGTATCCTTCTCATTTTCCTTGTATTTTTCATGTGTTTTATGCAAGATTCCTTCATTATCAATAATAGTAAAGATTTCTTGCCCTGAAATTCCGTTTTTCTTAAGGTGTGAACGAGAATTATCCACCCTGTTGTCATTATGTAAAATGTTAATGTGTGAATTTTTGTTGTGAGTGTTTAAGGGCGTTGGTAGGAATTGTGAATAGCAAGGATATGTCTAAATTTAAAAAATATAGGGTCGAGTTAAAAATCAAAGACTTGGAATAAGGAGATTTCTGCGTTACTATTCAGAATCACTCCTAAATATTTTGGTTCATCCTCGTTTTGGATAAGTCCTTGGTTCTTAAATAATAGGAGTGCAAGCTATATTCTCACTTTATTTGTATTTTATTAACATTTATGAGTATAAACATGTTATATTTGAAGGTTGAGGTGCAAGTACAAACATGAGAGTGACTTTCTACTATAAACTGCTGCAAGGAGTGAATACCATATGTATCAACTGAATGGTATTTGTGTTCGATATTCCTTCTAATAAATATGGGATTTTTATAGTTGATTAGGATATATATTGTATTCATCACTTTTTTGCGTATATTATCTCAAATTTATAGCTACACCTCAACTTACAAATATGATAAATTAATTGTTATATTAACATTAATAAATCATAAATGTTATTGATAAAATAAGAATAAAATGAGCTTAATTTGCTTATTAGATATTTTTTGAGAACACTCCAGTAATCCAGAGCATATCGTCCTGGTTATGTTTTTGTATTGTTTCAATTCAAATGAATAAAAATGTTAATAAAAAGTTCATTCGAACTTTTCCCTTTTCCCATTTTAAAAGGTAAATATATTAAAAATTTAATTTTTATTATTTTTTAAAGGGAATTGCTTAAATACCTCCCAAATATAATTAAATTAATTTCTTATAACTACTTTGATTTTTAGATAAAATTAAAATACACAATTTGACTTATATTTTTTTTGGAAAGCAAAATCGAGAAATGAACTTTGTTCGAATAAAAGGAAAAGGGGGTATTAAGATATATTTTGTTATTCTTGATATGTAATGTAGTAGTAATCGAAATTTAATTTAAGAAATCTTTTATTTCATATCAAAAAATTATATCCTTTTTCTTATTCAAATTCATATAATATAATAATTAAAATAAATATTTTACAAAAAATAACAACATAAACAATTCAAAATATATCATTTGTCCCCAAATCTAATTGGTTTCGCTCGTATTCCTTTCGGATATCGATCTTGACTTGTAGTTTCTAACTTTTGCCTAAGACTTCCTTCAGCTTCTTGACTTGTATCATTTTGCTCCCTCTCGGTTCAGTTCATCGTTGTTGTTTATCTTCGGTTCTCTCTTCTATTTCGTATTCTTCAGTTAATATATTTTCGCTTCTTTTCCTTAATTGATCAGTATGACGTATAATTGTTTTACCCTTTTTACTTACTTCATATCGTAGTGGTCCGAGTATGCTTTAAATAATGGCTTTTTCCCATTTTTTAAGCTTTATTATTGTAAATGCGCGCCGACACATTTTCATTTATCTCGAATTTTTGAGTGTAGTATTCTAACTTCTCCTTTCATTCCCCCGTTCGAATATTTGGTCTAACAATCCTCTAGGTTTAATTTTTAGTAGTATTTTAACGGGACTTTGTTCATTTTCTGCCTTTAGTGTATTTCGGTAATTGTAGAGAATAATAGCTAGACTGGTTTCTAAATCCCCTTCGTTTCCTTTATCCATGTTCTGTTTAAAGGTTCGAACTAAATGTTCGGTTATGCCGTTAGTCTGAGGATGGTATGAACTTCCGTGCACTATTCCGTTTATTTCGCAAAAATCATTGAATCCTTTATTACTGAATTGTGGCCCATTATCAGAAACGATTATCTTAGGAAATCCGATTCCGACAAAGATATTTCTTAGGAAATCCGATTCCGACAAAGATATTTCTTAATATTATTATCGTGCTTTCGGTGGTAGTACTAGTCATGAGAACTATTTTTGGCCAGCAACTGCTAGCATCTATCACTGCCAACCAATAATGACTTTGAAATGATCCAGGTGCTATGCTTTTGGTGGTTTTGGCCAATTTTGAATTAATGTACTTTGAGGCATATCGTGATGCTCCTGGCATTCTCTACATTTTTCGACCCACCCATGTTTCTATATCTTGGTTTATATTAGGCCACCACGCGTATTGTCTTGCTCTTATCTTCATTACCTTTCCAATATGTCCTTGATGTACCATGTCTAACACGTTGTTTCGGTATTGTTGTGGTATTAACCTTATAGTTCTCCAAAGTAAACAACCTCTCTCTGTTGTGATTTCCTCTCTCCTTTAGCTATACTCCTTTAAACATGTATCATAGTTTATTAGTCATCCGTCTATTCCATACCTGTATACTTTAGAGAGTACATCATCATAGCATTGTTTTTCTTTCAATCTCACTTGCATTTAAAGGTATTTGTTCTCCCACCTGTATTTGATTTAATGTTTTTGATATTGGGTTCCCTGTATAAGTACGAGATAGCATGTCAGCATTGGCTAGTTGTCGACTACTTTTGAATTCTATTTCATATTTGCAACCTGTTAATAATAGCCTATCTTTGTATTCTGGCAGTAGATGTTGTTAGTATTATATCTTTTCTTGGATGAAATAAAGTGATTAATGGCTTGTGGTCTGTTTGTAATGTGAACTTTTTTCCATAATTCTTAGAATTTTGTAACCCCAAATGATGGCAAGAGCTTCTCTTTCTATTTGGCTATAATTTTTCTCGCCTGCATTTAGAGTTGAGGCGAATGCTCTCTTCTTACACCCTTATGTGATATTACTGCCTTAATTCCTAAGGCTGACGCATCTGTTACTAATATAATGGGTAATTTTGGATCATAATGTTGTAATATTGGAGTACTACTTATTTCTTTATATGAGTCTTTGCTTTCATTTGTCCATCTCCAAACTACTATTTTTTCTAATAATTTGTATTATGGTTTGGCTTTGAAAATTTCAAATAAAATTTGAATAGTATGTTGCTGACCCTGGAAATGACGGTAATTGTTTTAAGTTTGTTGGCTCTGGTGCTTTTTTACTGCCTCAGTATTTTTTTCTGTAGTTGTAATCCCGTTTTTTAAAATCTTGTGTCTATTATACATTTTGTTTGAAAATTATACATTTTTCTATCTTTAGCTTGATTCCATTTTTGTCTAGACATTTTAGTACCTTTTTTAAATTTGTTTCGTGCTTCTCTCTATTTTTCCGGGTTATTATAATATCATCTAAATAACAAGCTACTCCTTCAAAACCTTTTAATAAATTCTTGGGCTCGTTGAAATATTGCTGGAGAAGACGATATGCCATAAGGTAGTCTTGTATATTTAAATAATCCTCTATGGGTATTGATTACAAGATATTTTTGAGACTCTTCCCCCACTTTAATTTGGAAATAGGCATCCGAGAGATCCTATATTGAAAATACCTCTCCTTTTCCCAAACTGGCTAATAAATCTTGGATTCTTGGCATTGGGTATGAATCAATATTAATATTTTGAGTTATAGTTCTTTTAAAATCCCCGCAAATTCGTAATGTTTTATCTTTCTTTTGAACAATTACTATGGGTGATGCATAAAGTGAATAATTAATTTTCTAAATCTTCTTTAACCATTTCTATAAATGCGTATGGTATGGGAGATGATTTACAGAATTGGTTTCTCATTTATTTGTGCCTTAAAATCTTTCAAACAGCCCAATTCTTTGGTAAATAATTGAGAAAATTCATTTTGTATATTAATGTTATTTATTTGTGTGGCCCTTTCAGGTATTTCAGTCATTTTTAGAAATTTAGTTATCCAGTTTCTTCCAATTAGATTTTTTGTATATCCTTTTGTAATTATGAGAGGTAGTTCTAATGTTCATCCTTCATATTGTACTTTTAGACAATTTTCCCTTCTATGGTTTCAGCCACAGGTGATTTTGTAGCTCGTATCATAATTATTCTATGATTTTGATTGTCTATCATTATCATTATGTTCCTATTCCAACTGATCGATTTTAGTTTCATCATTTTATATTTTTTATAGCTCTACTGCAGTAGCTATTCGAATAGCTTCATTTATGTCTATATCATCCTCGGATAATAGTCTTTGTAAAATTTAAGGATTTTTTATTCCGAATATAAATTTATCTTTTAATACAGTATTTAAATATTCCCCAAATTCACAAGTCGTTGCTAATTTGCGAAGATTTAGTATATAGCCTATTAATTTTTCCTAATTTTTTTGCTTATATTGATAAAAATTATATCTCTCTACAATTATAATAGATTTGGGATGAAAAAATTTGATGAAATATTATGCATTTGTATTTCTAATACCTCTTTGTTTCCCGGATTATCAGGTGCACATAAATTTACCAGTATTTTGTAAGCATCACATCTTATTGTTAATAGCAGTGATTTTTCTTGTGATGATGTCAAACTTGGTTGTGTGTTTTTAAATTCTTTATAAGTCATACCAATCTTTGTAATACAAGTTTGAATCCGGTAGACTTTTTATTGACTGTGCCATTCTTGATGTAATGTTAGTAGTAATCGAAATTTAATGTCAGAAATATTTTTGCAATTGATTTTTCTCTTATTTCATATCAAAAAATTATATCTTTTATCTTATTCAAATTAATAATGAAAATAACATTTTACAAAAAATAACAAAATAAACAATTCAATACATATCAATTCGTATATATGATGCAAGAATTGAATGGTATAAAACATTTCATATTTTGGCAAGCCAATGTATACAGAGATTATAAAATCAATTTAATTAATCTAAGTTAATTTACTTATAATTTTAAATTACCACTTAGTAGTAATTTATAATTGAAATTAAATTCCCTTTTAAAAAAATATTTTACATATTTTTTATTCAAATATTTTACATATTTTTTATTCAAATATTTTATATTTCAACAATTAAAAATTATACATGTACGAAATAAAATACAAAATTATATTAAGGGGGGTGGGGTGTGGCACGATTATGAAAAACATAATTGAGTCCCTAAAAACGAGCAGTAATTATAATAAATTATTTCAATTTGAATTTTTTATCTTAAGAAAAGGAATTCCTTGGTCTCCAATGACGGATAGGTATTTTATGAGCTAAGTTTTTAAAAAGTAAGGTGCTAGAGGTAAAATGTTCACTGGTGGATGTTGCAATTTGAGTAAAAATAAAGTTGTCCAATGTTTTGTATTTGTTTATCTTTTTTGTTTTGGCTTAAGTGTGTTGCTATTGATATTTGTGGGGAAAGTGGTAACACAGGTATAATCCCAGATGAGAGATTTACATGTAGCCCAAGGGATAGTTGTGGGGCCATCATCTAATGAAAGGTTTCAAGGTTCTAAAATGTTAGGGAATCAAGTTTTTTTTAAGGAATAGACTGTGAAGGTTATTTATTGATAAATGTCACTGATGACAACCTTGCCTTTAAAAACAATTTAACCCATGTCTGCCCTTAGCATTAACTGGTACAATTGAGGCAACTATGAGGTTGAACTATGTTGCAGCCGACTCTAGAGTAACTCTTAGTTGTTCATTAGTTAAATGTTTCCCTAAATTTTTACTAGGCAAAGCTTCTAACCCCTCTCCACTTAATTTATCTTTTGAGAGAGTTGGATGTGTTCAGGGGGAGAAGAGGTGGATATATGATTTTGAAATCATGGGTTAGAATATATTTTTGTGCTTTACTATATCGGGAAAACTGCATCTCTGCCATATTGCAAGGGCCTGATCGATTAATCTATCATTAGGGGGATCAAGCTGGAATATTAACGAGTTGTTTAATAGTCAGGAAGAAAGGAAAGATGAGTGACAGGGTATGGAATAAGTCGATGCCATCCATTTTACCTGAAAGTTGAGCTAACCACTAATTAAATTGCATATAAATATTAAATTTATCCCATAAATAAGGACTTCAAACGTTCAATAAATTCTTAAAGTAAAAAAAAAATGCACGAAAGAGATGTAATACTTTTAGAACATAATTTGCGAATAAATTAGAGGCTCTGATGTGGGAGGATATTTAGGATTGAGTCCAAGCTGAATATGTTGACAAATATTTTGATTAGATTTTTCAGATGGAGGAATGTTTGATAAAGGTGAGCCCAAAAGTGTTAAATTATTAAGTTCAACCGTTGTAGCAAGATAAGGCTATTTTATTATTACCTAGAAAATAAATATCTGTCTTCGTTTTGTTTAAGATAAGACGTATTTTTTTAGAATTGGCTTCAGGGAAGTACAAAATTTACTTTTGGAAGATGACTACAAATTAAATACCAAATATTTAAATACAAATCAAATTTAGATTTAAGATCATGGACGAGGTAATGAATGCCAAGGCAAATAGGAGAGGTACAAGTGTGTCTCACTCTTATGCATTCATCGGAGTCCATGATATTTATGCTAAATAGGATGAAGTTTTAATGCCATTGTTTTTAAAAATTAAGATTAATCGGAGAAATGGTATTCACTTAGATTAATAAGAAATGATTTTATAATATCTGTATAAGTTGGTGTGCCAAAAAATAAATTATAATGACATTAATTAATTAATTACAATATTTGATTCTGTTGGAAAACCCGTATATATATTGTAGTGAAAAACATATTAATAATATATATATAATCATTATATATTAATAAGTATAGTATATAAGGCTCTATATGTCAGGTATTTAATAAATTTAAAAGTCAAAATTTATTATAAATAAATGGATGCTAATAGGAGACAACTACTAAACTTATCCAGGTCCACTTCTCCATAATGAAATATTTTATGAAAGAAATTTATATATAATATTAATAAAGGTAAAAGTTTTATTATAGAAAGTGTTTTAAAATCAATAAAACTTTAGATGAAAGCTTTAGAAAATAAACTTTTTTACTGTATACTATCTTTTTTCTTAATTAAATTCACGAACATTAATGATAAATAAATAAGCTATTTTAAATATAAAAACATGTCCAAAACATAATTCTAGAAAATTTATAAATTTCAATGATTTCATTAAAATTTTCTAAAATGGTTTTGGATACAGCTTTAAAAAAATATTTTATTTAAATTATATAATTCAACAAAACGACTTTGATTTACTTTAATCATTCCGCCTCTTAATATGCGGAGTTTGAAGAGTTTTTCAAGTGTGGAGCTATCGAGATTATTCTGACTATTAAATTGGAAAAGTTGTTCTCGAGTATACGAAATTTTTATGTTGTTCGAAGTCCCGACCATTCTATCGCAATGCGCTAATTCAAATAATTTTATTTAGTTAAAAATACAATTTCCCTTAAGATAACTAGCTCAATGATGGTCTTAGGGAGGTGATCTCTCTCTAGTTCATAAAAAGCTTGCAATGTTAAAAGTTATAAACGTATCTCCTTAACCCTTAACATTGAAAGAAGGTTTTGTTAAGAGATCTAGGATGACCTCTTTAAGATATGTTTTGTAATAAATTTCGATGTGTTTACTAATAAAAACCAATTACTAGAGAAATAATATTATGTAAAAAAAAATAAGTTAAGTATTTTTTTTAAAAAAATATGGATATATTATTAAACTCGTTGAATAATCATGTTCTCTAGGCGAACAATCCTCCACAATAAGGTCACATATATTAGAAGTAAGTGCTTGTAGATGAGGTAGACAACCTATGGCAGATAGTTTTCCCCAGCATAACTCAGGTTTGGATTTGACTTGTTTAATTCCAACGGTACCCGGTTTTAGAGAGAAACTAAAATCCTTTATTTTTCATGATTGAATTATATCATAAATAAATGATAGAAAAGGAAAAAAAAGAATCATCTATCAGGAATTTAAATAAACAATTTTAGCTCTTTAGAACTAATGTCTAATGTAAGAGCTAGATGCCTTCTAATGATGTTCTCTCAGTATTATGAGTCAACATTAAAAAGTGTTGGGCCAAAAAGTTATTGATTTGGTATGGAATTACTCAAAGATGATATAAAGATATTATATTCTCTTAAAAGTAAATAAAATAATAATGGAAAAATCAATAACATCTAATCAAAGGCTGGACAAATAGGGGTTTAAGAGCAAGGCCTACCTAATTTTTATAACCTGCAAAACCCCTCTCGCTTATATCTTGGATAATGTTGTTATAAAGTTCACTTCAGGTTGATTTTCAAAAAATACCCAATTAAGAACCTTAACTACCCAAATCAGGCTTTCAACACTAATTTTGCCTGTGCCACTCCATCTATAGCTTCTAGTATGGAGAACTTGACAATCTAAAAACATTACCCAGCAGAAATCAGAGTGGTAAAACATTTATAACATAGGATATTTGGGAAAATAGCTGTGGATTTATTTAAGCTTAAAAAATGGGGTTGTATACATATCTCAGCTATAGGAACTATGGTTTTATATATATATAATAGTGATTTAGATTAGAAACAATATCTGCTAAAATGAGCACCTCTTATTCTAGGGTAAGGTTTCATTGGCAAGTACCTGGTTTTGAAATATAAGATGGGACAGGATGGATGTTTGAGGATCTCTATTGAGAAATTTCAAAAAAAAATATTTAGATAGAGTATTGAAGTTTTCACTCTTTAAAATAAATGGCAAAATAATAAAATTTTTAATATTATTGAAAATAAATTGAATATGATTTTACAAAATTATTCTACAAAGTAATATCATACTTTAATAATATATTTTGATATAAATGGGTACATATGCAAGAATATAATTGGTTTTGGAAGACTGGGTATATCACAAAATTTTTGAAAGATAGTGTCAAATGGAAATAAAGTATCATTATTATACACAAGTCTAGAATCCATTTCTATATTATTTGATATAATCTTTGATTTATTTAATTGAGGGTGAATTGCTTCTTCAGTTTCAACTGTTAAAGGATTTAATAAAATATTGTTTTTGAAATTCTTAAATGTGATTTTATTATTGGGTTGATAAATTAATTTATTATATTCATTTTCACACTAAAATTAATTATATAAATATAAAAATAGTTATATTAACCTCTAAAGATTCTTTCATTTTAAGAGCATCATTAACATATTCAAAGATATTAAATTTAATATATCTGTATATTATAAATATTAATTTTAAATTTTAAAAAATCATACTTTAATTTAACAGATAAACAGCATAAATTAGATGACATAATTGATGAAATAAGCTCAAAAATAAAAATATTACAATTTTCTATAATTAGATAAGTAAATTTATCAATTGACTCGTTTGACCAATGCTTATTATTCTAAAATTTATTGTAATAAAATATTAATAATTAATATTATACTGGGGTAACACCAAACAAGGAAGCAGGATATATATTGATAGGATATTCAATTATTTTATTTAAAATTTCTTCATTAGTTAATTCTTTCAGGATAGAAATCAGCATAATTTGAGAATATAAAACATTATCAATATTCCCATAATCAATGTATAATAAGGTAATCAAAGATTGAGATTTAGTGAGTCTTAATAAAAATGTTAATTTACAGTATCAATATATAAGACAGAACCTTTTTTTTATATCAATAACAATACATCTACCCCATTTTTGAAAATTTTTATTAAATGCAAATATTATATTTCCTTTCAAAATTTGATTAATGTTATGCTTTTCATTAATAATATATTTCTGGTTTTGCTCACAACAAAACGCATCAATATAATTAATGTTTTTAATTGCATTTAAAAGATTTTGGTCTAAAATATTAAATACTAAAAAAATTTATAATATATATATATACATGAGCCTATTGCAATAAAAAAGCAGCTAGGAGTACATACTGATAAAACTCTTGCATATATAATATCGGACATATATTAAGTCAGCTTCATGATAAATATCCTATGATGCCCAACTCGTTTCGAGTAAAAAATTTTAAAATTATTACTATCATCCCACTAGGAGAATTTTCAATATTATAAACTGTCATTCTTTAAGCTCTAAAACCGTGTTTTTAAAACAACAGAGCACACAAATTGTTCTCATTCTCATGCCCAACAAACTAGGCATAATATAAGGGGTTAAATAAATTAAAATGAGAAGAATTATTCACTAATTAATGGTCAAGTTACAAAGAATAAGAAAAAAGGAAAGAAGAAAGAATAACTGTGCACACTGAGACTATCTCCATACTTGAATGCCTTGGGTAATAAGAAGAGATTTAAAAAATGTCTGAACCCAATTTAAGTGAAAGTTTTTTAATATAGGTTTGGCATATCAATTTTAACTTAAATATTTTTAGATTACAATAAGTACAGGATATTTCATATATTTTTTTACAGATGTAAAAACATATCCATTAAATTAAGATTTTTCTTAAATGAATAAAATTTAATTTATATTATTCTTCTAAGTTCTTGATTTTTTACTATTTCAACTTTATTTCGAAATCTATTATCACTTTTTTAAACAAATAATTTTTTCAAAATATTTTTAAAGAATCAATATTTGACGAATCGAATAATATTTTCAATACCAATATAAATTAATCATAAGTTTCGAACTTAATTATATTTGTTCACTAAGGGGTGGCAGGAGGGTAACTATGGAAATCATTTGAGGGTCAGCCCCCTTCCTCCAGTCAACAGATTTTTGACCCACTGAGTAATAATTATTTTTTAAATGTGATTTTTGGTGATCTAAGCAAAATTTAATTTTTGCTTATAAATACCCATAATAGGTAGGGTGAATTTGTTCGGTATATTGTCTGATTGAATAAGGCTATGTGTTATTTTTGTAATTTTATATTATTAATTTTTTCTTTATTATTATTAATTTTTTCTTTATTATTAATAATTTTTTCCTTATTTTTAATAATTTTTTAAGATTAATATTGTTGATGATGTTGATCGATGTTATTTTATTATTTATTTTGGCAATTGATTTATTTTATATTATATCAATTTGTATTTAAATTTAATGGTGAAAATCAGAGTTGTACATTTGCTCAAAATAAAAAGATCTTCAAAGATCGTAAAATTTGAAGATCTTTTATTTTTTAAAAATTTTGTGTAACGATCTTCAAAGATCTTCATGATATTTATTTTTTTTACCGCTTTATTAAAAGCCTAGATGTTTTTCAATTTTATTAATATAATATTTCTTTTATGTTTTATACCTCTCCTCCTGCCTTGATGAAAGAAAAAAATATTATTTATTTTTTAAGCATGTTAAATTAAAATATAAATTCAATAAAGATGCACCAACAATTTTCATAATCGTATTTTATAATAACATGCTTAAAAAATAAATAATATTTTTTTCTTTCATCAAGGCAGGAGGAGAGGTATAAAACATAAAAGAAATAATATATTAATAAAATTGAAAAACATCTGGGCTTTTAATAAAGGGGTAAAAAAATAAATATCATGAAGATACACAAAATTTTTTAAAAATTAAAAGATCTTCAAATTTTACTGCTCAAATTTATTTATAAATAAAAGATCTTCAAATTTTACGATCTTCAAAGATCTTGCTCAAATTTTTGAGCTAGATCTCGATCAAAAATCTTCAAAGAAAATCTTTTGTACATGGTGAAAATTTCATATTAACATTTTTATATACATTAATTTGTATTAGTTATTTTTTTTATTATTGTTTAAAAAAAAAGTTATATAAAGAGATAAAAAAATGTAATTAGGGGGAAAATAAAAATGTAATTTATCATATAATAAAATTCAAATTATGACAAAAATAAAATATATAAATCATGATATTATTACTTAATGGAAAACTCTATTAATTCCAACATGGAGCCCAATCCATGTCTGAACTCTGCGTAAGTATTATCTCAAAATTCGAAATTGATTTTGCAATGTACATTTATTCTATTTCAAGCCTTTATCAATTATAATTCTCTTATGATGGATGCTCTGAACAATTCCACAATATGACTGAATTTTTCAAGCTGGATTTCCCCAAATTTAGTAGCGATGACAGCTCCTACATAGGGTTATTGCAGATTTTCTTCAACACCAGCAAGATCTCCAACGGAGAAAAGGCCGCTTTATTTCTCCGAAGTCTTCCTGATGACGAATTCAATAATATTGGGGCAATTTGCACTGAGGAAGACTTCCAGGACCCAATCGCCCTGCTTGGCAAATTCAAGTTACAACATCCATCGAAGACCGAGAACGATAAACTATCATTATTTTATGCTGCAACTCAAGGCAATGATAAGACATTCTCTGCTTGGGTCGTGGAGCACGACACAACAAAGAATGTAAATTCAATGGAATTCAGAGAATTATTGAGAAAGTGAGAGTATCTTCGTATTCCAAAGATGTCAGGAAAGAGGTCAAGAGCTCTATGACCATAGAAGACATTTACAATCTAGGTCTAGAGGAAGACACCGCGGACCCAAATGCCATCAAGGGCGAGATGAAATTGTTACACAAGAATGAGTCACCTGGTGTACAGGAGGTTAATCACATGGGCAGAGTCAAAAATAGTTACGTAACAACAAAACCCATTCAGGACTCTCACACACATGGTAAATCTCTTATCAAGCAACCCCAGTTCATCAATGACAATCGCCCTGCTTAGCATTTCGATGAACGTTACGATTTACGCTGCGACTATTGCCGTGACAAACGATTTGATGAACGTTACGATATACGCTACGACAACGACCGCGACAAACAATTCAACGGACGGCACAGCAACTTCCACGACAATCGTTTTGATCAAAGCTACGATAATTGTCACTATAACCGCAACCGTTTCGATAATCGCAACGATAACTACTACGACGATCGATACAACAATAGCGGGTACAATGTCCATGGCAATCGCGTGACCATCATCAAAGCCCTGATCGACGGGATGACTGCTATAGAGATGATAACCAAACCAACTATTCCCGTCGTGGTCAGCACAGACACAACCCTCAAAATATTATTGGTTTTCCGTAATATTCGTCGAGGCCCAACCAGTACAAAAAGGACAATAATACTTACAATAGATCTTCTGATTACAAAGATCGTGATTGTCAATTGAATACGAACCATGCTATGAACATCGAAGTAATTGATGATGACGACGACTCAAACACAGACCTTAAAGAATATAATCTGCAGAATTTGGAAGTGTACAATCTGGGGGTCAAAGAGACCATATATGACGCGTACAACGTGACAGTGAGCATCAACAACATACCCATGTTGATGCAAGTTGACACCGGTACCAAGTACAGTTTACTTCCTAAGCTGACAGCTAAACTGTAGGCATAACCGCGATACGTAAGAAGGACATGAGACTCACTGGTTATTTATGACAGCAGCGCTATCAAGATATTAGGTCTTGCCAATGTGAACTTTAAGTATGAAGGAAACTCACATACACTGGAGGTCATTGTAGGATAGTGATAAGATTCCCCTGCTAGGACGTATGTGGCTCCACACCTTCAACAACATTTTAAAAACGTTCTTAGTAGGTAATGTAGAGAATGATCTCGAGATGATAATCTCGACAACAAAAAAAGACCTCGAATCAACTTATTCCTACAAACCCAAAAAGGTCAGACAAGAGAAAGTTCACTTGAAGCCCGATGCTGTGCCTAAGATCATACTTTCAAGGAGAATTCCGTGCGCCAAGATGGATGCAACGACTCAGAAATTGGATTGCTGGCTGAAGCACGAGAAAATAACCTTGCTCGAAAGAAATCTAGATGTCCGATGCCATGCACAAGCGACCTGGTTTGGAAATTAGCTAGGGGTTGTCTTTACTTTGCCAAGCCATCGTGCGGTTTGAAAAGAAGACTGCACCATGAACATGGGTGGCGTATTGCGTGGTGATCATGTAAGTTAATGACGTTACCACTCAACTTATCCAAGGAAATCATAAGCCGAATTTATTTGGAGGGTGAATGTTGGTTGATCGATGTTATTTTATTATTTATTTTGGCAATTGATTTATTTTATATTATATCAATTTGTATTTAAATTGAATCTGTGAAAATATATTAACATTTTTATATACATCAATTTGTATTAGTTATTTTTTTTATTAATGTTTAAAAAAAAAGTTATATAAAGAAGATAAAAAAATGTAATTAGGGGGAAAATAAAAATGTAATTTATCATATAATAATATTCAAATTATGACAAAAATAAAATATATAAATCATGATATTATTACTTAATGGAAAACTCTATTTAATTCCATCAAATATTTTACTTGATTAATTTATTACACTTTTCTTAAGATATAATATAATGTTTTTTAAATATAATATTTTTTAGGATGATTTTTTATTTTATTTATACTTTTTTGACTATTCTCTGATACATCTTTTGATCGCTAATTTTTTTTAAATATATATTTTTTAAATGATTTTTTATATATTGATTTTTAATGATGTTAAAAGTTACTTTTGAAACATAACTAGTTACAGTTACTAGTTACATTGGCAAAAACATAACTAGTTACAGTTACTAGTTACTGTTACATTTTTACAAAAGTAACTAGTTATTAGTTACAATTATTTTCAAAAGTAACTAGTTATTTACTTTATACATCCTTCATATGCGCATTATTTATTTATTGAATGCATTTATTTAATATAAAAAAATTTAAGATAAACAAAGTATAATCAGTTATTTAAAATAATATACAATTTATTTATATAAAAAAATATCGCAAAATTGAATATTTACATCATAAAAATATATATTTGCATTGAAAAAAAAACATTTATTTTTCATAAAAATTAGAATCTAATAAATATTTATTTGCTTTTAACAACAAATTAATTTCAAAGTTATTATCTAGGAGACGTGCTCGTTTATCTCCAAAAATGAGCTTACCTAGACTGAACAAGCGCTCTACGGGAGCACTTGATGTTAGAACAACATTATATTTAATAAAGAGTAATTTTAACTTTGGAAAATCGTTATATAAAGAAAAAGTGTTGTTATTAGATTTGATAAAGTTTTCTATAAGTTCATTATCCAGAATATTTTGGCCGGGCCCGGGTATATTTAAAAAATTTAAAATACGGCCCGGGCCGGGTTTAGGGCCGGGCCTGCAGGTCTCTGAAATATATTATATAATTTTTTTACTTGAAGGCTTTTAAATAATTTCGAGAATTATCGGTAATCCATTTGGTCACTTTATTTTGTATCTTATATATGGTAAAAATTTTAAAAATTATTTTTGCTAGATAATCATATGTATGTTTTTGGTTTATCCTTCTACAAGCTAAGCAGGCTGAAACCCTCTCAAGAGTAACTAGTGTACTGTCATCCCTAAATAAGAACTTTTTAAAAAGACAATATTATCAATTTATAGAATATATATTTTTATATACCGATGATAAGCTGACCAAGAATCTACAGTTGTACAGACAATTTTTGGGATACACAATAAATCCACTAATTTCTTTGTCATGGTGCCATATGCTATGTTAATTTTTAATATAAGAGTAGGCCTAGACATCACATTTTTAGATGGCTGCAATTTTTTGATAATATTAATAAAAGCAGTGCTTTCTACAATTGAAAATGGTTGTAATTCTTCAATTACAAAATTAAAAACTAATTCATCAACAACTGATTGTGCTATTTTTGTCTTTGACGTAGATGGATTATCTCAATGAGTGTTTGTTGATTGGTTTCAATTTTTTTTTATTGCTCAAATTTTGATTTATTTCTTTTATTCTTGAAGAATGTATAGTCTATAATTTTTTAATTTAAATATTATTCATTCCAGAGTTTTTTTTAAAAAATAATTAAGCTTTTTCAATAATTGAAGATAAATCTTTTAAAAATTTAATTGCATTTTTTAATCCCTCACTAAGTTTATTGGAAAACATTAAAATTGAAATTATAATTTTTCAATTCCTTATCTTTATCAGATCAGAATTGTTATATAAAAAGGAATCAGGAAAAATATCAAGGTTCCGTTCTCTAAAACAAAATTTCAAATTCTGATATAAAAATCTTGACAGAAAAGAGCAATCTTTGAGACATAAAATGATTTGCAGAACTTTTCCATGAATTACACTTTAGATTCCCTGCCTAATATCAAAACATTATTTTTTTTATTTTATTACCATACATATTAATGCCTGCACTAAAGAAAGGTCATTTTCAACTTTAAAAAGGTTAAATAACCAAATCTATCTCAGAGTTCTCACTTTTTAAATTCAAATAATAAAATTACAATATGATTAAATTATATGTTCTTTTAGTATTAAAATTTTTATATGCAAAACTTAATAATAATAAATTCTTAATCATAATATTTATGTTTTTTATAAAGGTATTGCATTTGCAATAAAAGTTATTTATATTTTGATAATATAATCATTTGTATTAGTATATATATTTTTTAATTTTTAATGTAATAATTTGTATAAAATTTATACATATCAAATTTTATTGTGAACTATCATTAAAATAAATACATGGTTAAAAAATAATTATATATTAGTTCATTCTTTACCTTCAAATGTTTTTTCAAGTTTGAGCTACTTGACATTGACGCTGAAATATTTGCGTTGGGACATAATTTACATTACAAAGTGTAGACTTTGTACCAAGAATCTTCTTAATTGATTTATAATATAATTTAAATTGGGGCCAGGGAAGGGTTAAATCTTCTTCATCTGAAGAAGTAAGTACTATGGACATAATATTCTTTAAAATAAATTAATTTATAATATCATTATATTTACTTTGAATTTTGATTGAATATTAATTTCGACTAATAATTTAACAAGGAGAATAACGTACGTGATACGTGATAAAAGCGTTTTCGCCCTCTGGTTGTGGATACAACAGAGCTACGCTAGGTTTTCCTCAAAAATCCATCAAACTGGATAGTTAATTAAGGGGAGAAAAAATGAGGAGCCCTTCACACGTTTGTGGGCAAGCTGCACGTACTTGTACGCGCAACAGTCCGAGAACTGTTGCTTAAACGTCTATAGGCTAATAAACAAAAAGAAATGGGCAAAACAAAAGCCTATACCCATGAACTGCCAAAATAGTTTAATTACTTTAAGGGTGGGTGGTGGCTAATTTTAAGTTTAACATCTAATGTAAGCCTTGATAGTTACTAACAATAATTGAGAATGTGTTCATATCAATTGAGATTAGAATTTATTCATGAAAATAAGGAAAAGCTAAATGGGTTTACCGCAAATTGTTTAAATAGGTGAAGATTCCAGTGAATAGGCAAAAACTAGTCAGTAATCGGTTTATGACTATCCAGCAACGAACACCACACAACAAACGGGGTTTTTTCTTTTTCCAGAGAAACAAAATACTCTATGGAGTGATAGATAGATTATATAGCGAAAAAGGTCTTTGATAATGATAAAGATATGAGAGAAAGGAAACTATGACGCAGAAATAGGAACTAGCTCCGTAAGTTTTAGGAAATGTAATTATTGGCCAGGATTAACAAAAGGCATTATGGCTTGATTGTTATATGATAGTCTATCACTCACGGAAAGACTCTACCAACAAAACATATTTACAAATCTCGCCACCCCCCTGTCGACTGGTTTCTCCATAAATAAAATAACAAGTGGACAAGGACTAAGAAAAAAAACACTAAGAAAAAGCAAAGCTCCGGGGCTAGATAATATCACAGCAGAAAACCCAAAAAATAGCACCTATAACAATATCGCTAATTATTTGCCCTCATTTAATAAAATATGGGAGAGCGGAACTACTGCAATGGGATGGATCAAATCCTACCTAAGTAACTACCCAAAAAACTAAGTCCACAGAAATTAAAGGGTTATTGAGCTATAGCCATCACATCCTGGAAAAAAAATTTTTTGGTTCACTCAAAAACCACAAGCATATCACCCACACCGAAAACTTCCCCCCAAAAATACATAAGTATATACAGGCCAAGAAAAGAAAATACTGTAGCCAAAAATTAATTTAGAAAAATAATCATGCAGAAAAACTAAGTACAAACCCCCTTCTGCATTTGTAAATTATAACAGAGCTATTGATAATGTTAACCATGCAGCTTTGTCAGAAAAGGGAAGACCCCAACATCTTCCAGATCCAGAAAACCACTAATACATGTTGTGCTTCGAAATCAATGACGAAGAAAATCCCCTACCTCCAAGGTAAAAAGAAGTAAAAATAAGGCTAAACTCTTGCCACTCCTAAATAAATAAAGATCATAAATATAAAAACAAGAAACAATGGCAACGACCAATGTATTTTATGTAGACTTCAATTTAGATGTAATGTTTTGAAAAAGTTAAAGACGTTAGATCTAGTTAACTAGCGATAATAAAAGAAAAAAAGTTTTTTTTTTTCCAAGAAAAACAAGTAATCACTTCAAAAACTTATAGATAGAAACAGGGTAAATGTAGTCACAATGTATTTAAGAAATATACTTAATAATGGAAGTAGTTGCAAAGAAGAAGAGAAATTAGAATACAAAGGCGAGTGGAAACTTTTAAATGTATACAAAAAGTATGAAAGATAAGAGAGAAATCGGTAATTTCTAGACTGAGGACACATCCACTTCCTATATTAGTCAGCTTGTATTCAATTCTAAACAGCTTTGCGGACATGTTAGAGAGACCAAAGAAACTAGGGAAGAGAAAAATAAATAAATAAAATAAACAGATGACTATAAACAAATAAATGTCTCATAAACAAAAGAGGATACCCTCTACCCCAAAAGCATTACAAACTCAAAAACTATGGAAAAATTACAAAAACATACCCAAAAACTAAGTTAAAAAGAGCCAAAGAAAATTTTTAGCCCATATAGGAAACGCAAATCACAAACTCCTCAAAAATGTCATTAATATATCTTGACTCATATAATGGGAATGCATAGAAGTACAACGTATATGTAATTAAAAATAAGGGACAAAAATGTTGGGACTTGGAAGTGGGTGATATAAATTAAAACTCGGCTTAAATTATTAATATTAAGAATTAAAAAATAAATAAAAGTAATTTTATAATATAATAAAATATGTTTTTCTTTTTATTGATATTTTTTAAGAAAAAATATAAAGTAACGTTTTGCGTTACCGTTACTCAAAAAAAACGGGTTATTTATTTTTATATTAGTTAATTTAGCTCCAGCATAAAGGTCGATCGTAGATTTTGATCCCTCTTTTTGGAAATGACAGGCCTGATTATAAATACAAAATTATGATAAAAACATTTAATATTGTATTAGCTATTTAAAATATAATTTTCTTCTATTAAAAATATAATTATATTTATATACAAATCAATATTTAATAATGGATAATTTAAAAAAACAAAGTACATTTTTTAGAATCTGGATGTTAATATAATTCTAATTATAGTAGTTATATTTAAAATGTTCATTATGAATGTGAAGTATCGTCTTCGACAAAATCCTTAGCCTGTTCTTGAGATACTGCTTCAACATGACTTACCTATTTAATTTTTTTTAAATAAAAGATGACAATTATAAGGAATCCAAATATATTATGTAATAATTAAAATTTGATAAACAAATTTATACAAATCATAAAAAAATAATATCAAATACACAAGTTGGAAAATCATATAAAACTGATAATCAAGGATTTCGGTGATTTTAAAAGTTGAACCACTTTATTAAGATTATAAGTGATAGCAGAGGCGTAACACAAATGCCTGCTGATCGCACGTAAAGTTAATTTTTTTAATTCATGTCTGCGATGAAAGATGAGTTAGATCTGTTACAATATCGGCGTTATTGGCAGAAACCAAAATGTTCCATGATGAGCTCTAAAATAAGATAGTGCAAACTTATTTTGTGACATTTTTGCTATTATTGCTTTAAACTCAAAAATTTTTTGTGCTGATGAAGATGATCTAATTTGACAAAATAGCTTTTAAACTAGATATATAAAGTAATAAAAATTCATATATGTTAATTGGTCAAGTAATAATATATTTGTTTTACAAGTCAAGAGCTACAGAAAATTAGATATTATGAGAATAGTAATATTGTTGGTGTTAGTATAAAATTTTTTAAAATAATTTAAACTTTAAATGCTTTCTGATTTTGGACTAGAGTAATGCAATTATTCTATTCTGACGTCGATCCCCTCCGAGAAGACGGGATTGGCTATGTTAATAAGAATTCTTGAAGGCATTGGAGTTGAGAATGTTTTGCTGACCAGAATGGGAATAGTTTATAGTCAATTCTTTACCCACTATTCAGGAATAGATCATCATGTAGGTGTTCGAAAATTCTATACCCACTATTCAGGAATAGAAATTCATCATTTGTAAGAACTGATAATGAAGATGTCAAAAACATGTTTTCGCTATAGGTCCGATAAATATATCTTGTCAGTGTACCTGACATCGAGGGATCGAAAAGTTAATGAAGTTGTGGGTTACGCAAAGGTCTATTGAAGGCTAAGAAACAGACGAAGATTAGATGAGAAAGTATCGAATTAACACAGAAATTTTTTAAGTAGAATGCAGAATCACAGAAGTGTAGAAAGTGTGCGAACATTTCAGGAGGAAGAGAAATTATAGATTATGTGTGGGGAAAATTGGATATTCAATAAAGGAATAAGTATCAATATCTATATTTTTCAATTAGATCCTATATTTTCTTTCTTTTTACTTCTTTTTTTAGATGTCTTGTATTTTTTAAAAAAAACATGCATACCTATTTTATCGAGATTGGCTGTAAAGAAAAAAATTTGTGGAATCAAGAAGAATTATTGCTATTATTTATATCACAAATCATATGAAATTGATTAAAGATTTAGTTCATCCCGGGAAATTTTACACATTATAGGGCTGATTTTTCTATACAAGGCTCATAATTATATTTTACGAAGGAGTCATTCCATGAAAAATGTAATATAGATGACGTTATATTAATTTTTTTTAATAATATATAATTTTTAATAAAATATGAATAGTATTGTGATTAAAATTAAAAAATCAATTGAGTATAACCAAGAATGATGTCATAGGGCAATATATAAGCAGGTAGCCCACACAGATATATTTTATTGACGCTATATTGTAAAAAAACATATTTTAAAATTTTATATTCAAACTATTATAATTTTGCGCTTATTAATAGAAATTCCTAAGGCCATAATTTGTAGATATATCCTTTCATTGTTGTGGATCTACTATCGTTATTATTTGAAAATAACGATTTTATCAGCTTATTTTATTTTTTTATTTCTATCATCGCTCGCTACCAATCAATCATCATATATTTCAAAACTTAAATATTTTTTACAACCAAATGAATTTATGATAATTTGTGATTTCTCTGAAAATTATGCCTTTATAATCGAAGACGCTATTCAAGGATTCCACTGGAATAATAATCAAGCCACTATCCATCCTATGATAGCATATTATAATAATGGCAATATAGAAAACCTTAATTATATGGTAATATCAAATCACTTCAACTTGATGTTATTGCAGTACATTTATACCAGACTAAAATGATAAAATTTTTGACCAATCAATTCAGCAAAAAGCTAAACAAAATATATTAATGCTCTGACGGATCAGCTGCGCAATATAAAAACAGAAATTTTTTTATAAATCTGTGTTATCATGAATCAGATTTTGGTATATTCACGTTCAAAATTCGTCAAAAATAAAAGGAACGTCGTTCATCATTTTTTTCAAAAAAACGAACTTCGTAACACTAATTGAAAGGCATCTTGATTATAGGTTGTTGGGGATATAAATTCTTCGGGAATGTGTGGACCAATTTTACTTAACTGGTAGCGGCACGAATTACATATTTTGTGTTGAAGATATAAATCACTATTTATATTAAGCATCGAAGGTAGTAGAGAACGTAAATTCTTTTTAAAAAATTTATGTTTTGGTTTATTCAGTGGATTGCAACACTTTAGCTATTAAAGGTTTCATTTAGAAATATTTATTTATTTTTAAAGACAAGTAAAAATAAAAAAAATTAGTTTTTTTTAAATTAGAAAAATGTTAAAGAAATGAATCAAGTATTATTTTTACAATTTGTGAAAAAATATTTAAGAAATCAATTTGTATTTTTAGCAACTGCGATTTATTGTTAGTGTTTTCACGATTTTCGCTTATTAATTTCAAATTTTCAACTGACCATAAGATGACCCATATTTTTTTTTAAAAAAAATTAATTTTGATGTTTTCGCCATAATTATCGATTATTAACTTGCTATTAATATTAGATTCAATATATGATCATATTTGGTTTTAAATTAAAAACTAATTATTTAACATAAGTAAAAAGCAAAAAAGACGCTTTTTGGACCTTTAACCCTGATTATCTCTGCTAATATAGTTGCTAATGCGCTAAAATTTTGTTTATGATCTAATGGAAACATATATAACCAGCATACAATTTTTTATCGAAATCGAAAAAGGTCAGCCGAAAAGTGATTGATTTGACATGGAATGATCCAAAGGGGAGGTCATATATTTTAATTATTCCAGATTTAAAATATTTCTTAAAATTCCAAGCTAGTACGGATCTTTGGAAACATTATTCTATAAAGCGAATTTGTTAATAAAAAATATAAGATGAACTTAACACTTTCAGTGTACTCTTTTTTAAAGAAATAAAAAAACTGGGAAAAATTCAAGATTTAAAATATTTATTACTGATCAAGAATACATCGATAGTAGCCAGTGTTTATAATTTAAACTCAGCCTGCCTATTGCTTCTAACAATACCGATGACGATCGCAATTGCAGAACATAGCTTTCGAAAATAATGTCAATTATATTGCATATTACATTTGCAATAATTTTGAATTTGATTTAATAAAAGGATATTTATAAAAGTTAGTCTTGTTTGATTTATATATTAGAAAATATTTTTAAAAATTTGAGTTTTGGCCTATAATTTCATTGCGAGGGAGGGGTTACGCCACTCGGTTATTATAGTATATAATTTTTCGACATTAAATTAGATAGTTTCAAATGAGTGATAACTTTATATATGTAATCACCATTGGAGAAGTTTTAAGACCATTTATTTGATTTCGTTATCAAATATATAAAGGACCGATCACAACAAATATGATATAATTTTTCTTGTGAGGTATAGTAGTTTCATAAAAGCTAACCAATATAAATTTATTTTTAAAATATCAGACCTTATTTTTGAAGGTGACCCCGTAAAATTTATCGGCATGTTCTAATAACTCGGGTCGAAATGTCGTCGTTATAAATTGAGCATCTTGTGATAATTCATGAATCATTTCTAAAATAAAATCACAATAAGATGTACAATGTAAATTTTTTTATTTAATATTCCGCTCTTTCATCATTTTAATTTGATTTTTGTTTATATAAATTTATCTATTTCGAATTGATTTTCATTACATAATTTATTTAAAGTAGATAAAATATAATAAATTGATATGATTTGCAAATGAATTTAAGAATATATTTATTTTATTTAAACAATCCAATACTTTTATAAATAATATCATTATATTTCTCTTTAAACCCCTTTATTCATTTAAAATTATTTTTATATAAGTTCGATTTGTGCATGATCGGGATGAATAAGACAAGAAGTATCATATAAATCTTAAAAGGTTATATCAAGGGAATATTTACGAGAAACAGCTTTCCTGTGCTGTGTATCAAGAGCTTGGTCAATCTCGTCAAACAGATAAAAAGGAGCAGGGTCGCATTTTTGAATAGCGAATATGAGTGCCAAAGCTACTAGAGATTTTTGGCCACCCGACAACTGTTGCATTTCCCTCATTTCGGTCCCGCCCGGAAAGTTTTTGTCCTTAGGGTCACTAAAACACACCTGATTAATATTTTAGTAAGTAATGGATTGAGACATTATTTTTAGAAAAAAATAAATGTTTCTTCCCATTTTTATTTTTTTAATATTGGAATTATTTATTAGAGCAATCACAGGTATAATTTATACAACAAAATTATATTTAATGGGTCTTAAAATAGTAATTCATTATAATATGATGTAAATAAAAATCAGAGAGGTACTTCCGAAAATAAAAGTTTTGGTAAATATAATTTTTACTACCTAAAAAATTAATGCAAAACTAAATTTTATTTCTTAGGCTTTTCTCGTATATATGTGGCCTCAAAATATAAAAATTTCGGTAAAAACATACTATTCTTATCGGAAATTACACTAAATATTAAAAAAATGTTACCTTTATCCCAACACCAGTAAATTGCTCTATGAGAGGTAAAGAATGTTGTTGAACGTTCGAGCCACTTGCCATCCCCTGATCGGCTACGTCGTTTTTATTGACTTCTGCGCCACTGTTAGTATAGAAAGGGGAGTCTTCGTTTTCTTCAATTTCGCCCTTTTTCATGACTAACATACCGTTGCCTTCTGGCACAAGCTTCTTAAAAACTTCCGTAAAGTAGTTGGAGACCTAGGTTTTTTAAAAAAAATTGCCATTAAATGATATTAATTTTTTTTTAAATTATCATATACCTAGCCAAAAGGATATAAATCTCAAAATTAAATTACATCTTAAAAGGTTATCAAATTTATCTTAACATTTTTATATTTCATATCTTTCATCAGTTAATATTTAATAAGAATACTATAATTATGTTTTATTATATTTCAAGAATATAGTTTTCAAATGAATTTTATCATTTCAATAAAAAAATCTCACATTCATTTATAATTTTATATATATATTAGGATAAATATAGAACCTTCTTAGACACGATTCTGGAACCAAAATCTAAAATAACAAAGGTTCGATACTATGGTAATCAGAGTTGTTAAGGAGCGGCGCTCCTGGAGCGCCACTACATTTTTTCAAAAACACCTGGCTCCTTTTTAAAATTGGGGAGCGGGAGCTAGCTCCTTTTAGGGCTGGAGTGCAGGAGCACCGCTCCACCGCTCCTTTAAATTTAATGTATAAATTATTCAATAAAAATGAAATTTTATTTAATTTAAATTTATCCATTATTAAATGTTTAGCCGAGTTTCATATTGGTTTTTCATCTAATCATTTTAAATATTCAACATCAAGTTTTCCTTTTTATATTGAAATTTTTTTGGAAAATCTTGTGAGTCATGTTAATATTCATTTTATGGATATATAATAAAAAATAGTTTTCGATATTATGGATTTAGAGATAAAGATGAAGAAATCGAATTTCCATTTTCATCATACAAAAAATATTTTAAACTTCTAAAAGATGTTGATCCAAATGATCAAACAAATTTAAGGGGCAAAATGTCTCTTGTGTTTAAATAAAACTATTTAATTATTAAAAGTGAGCAGCTTCAATCTAAAAAAGCATCTAAAAGTAAAAAAATCTTTCTTTTAAATACAAATTGATTTGGAAGATTTTTTTGGATTCCATGAAATTGATCATCAGGAAGATAATATATTGGACAAATATTTTTTAAATAATGATACCAAAATTACTATTTTTGATAAATTCCCTGAATTAAATATCTTTATAAAATACAATACCCCGCTTCCTTCTAGTGCTCCTGTGGAGTGACTATTCAGTATTGCAAAACAGGTCTTAGGGGAGAGGCGTGGATGTTTGTTAGATTCTAATTTAAAAAATTTATTACTTTTAAAAGCTAATAAAAGGTTATAAATATTTTGATAGATCATTTAATATAAATAAAGCTTTTTGATAAAAAAAAATATGATTTTGTTTCGTATACCTTCTAAAAAAATGAAAATCAAAGGAGCGGTTATGGAGTGGCACTCCATTACTTGGAGCGGGAGCTAGCTCCTTTTAAAAATGTAGTAGCGGAAGCGAGAGCTAGCTCCTTTTGAGAAGGTAGGAGCGGGAGCTAGCTACTTTTAAAAAGGAGCGTTAACAACTCTGATGGTAATTATCATTAGTTATTAGTTCATAATTATTGCAAGTAAAACTTCTTACAATTTACTCCATTCTTCTAATTTAAATAGGGTGGTTACTTTTCCCTTAAAAAAATATTTAATTTGATAAGTTTTACCTTTAATCCTTTTTAAAAATTAAGGAAATCACTATTCTGAATTTAAGAATTTATATTTCAATGTAAAAATAAAAATAATAAAACTTTATCACCTTTTTTACGTGTAAATATACATAATAGAGAAATTTTAATAAGAGATAAATCACTGCTGTTCAAACATCGGTTTCAAAAACTTCATTCATTCATGTGCCTGTTGAAATACCTAATACAGATTGCTCGTGGTTTCTTTTATGATTTTGTTTATCTAAAGCATTTCTGGAGATAGATTTTAAGAGCTAGGATGTTCTTGTTTGGCCTGTAGGCGCAAATATTGGATGATAAGAGATCTTTGGTAGAGGCGAGGATTCTGTTCTTCAGAAGAACCATGAACACCTTTGAAACTGTAGAAGTGAGAGCAATGGCTCTGTAATCTCCGAGCGATGAAGGGTGGGGTTTTTTGGGGAAGTTGAAATTACCTACTTACTCTACATGGAGGAAACAAATACATAGACCCTGAAGAGCAAAATGGCTATCTGGACAGACTTCTATATGTCAACTTTTGAATCCAGGATTCCTTCTAAGATAGCGGGCTTCCAACAGCCAGGCTTACCATTACCCCACTCCGATTTCTCCCTCATAGAAATCAACAAAGCCATAAACAAGCTAAAAAAACAATAGAGCTCCAGTCTCTGACGGGATTAGAAACGAGCATATGATAGTCGCTGCAGAAAGCATTTCTAAATATTTATTATATTCATAAAAATATGGCATTCAGGCAAAACCCCCGATGATTGGAATAAATCAACAATCTGCAACTTCCCTAAAAAACCCCACCCTTCATCGTTCGGAGATTACAGAGCCATTGCTCTCACTTCTACAGTTTCAAAGGTGTTCATGGTTCTCCTGAAAAACAGAATCCTCGCCTCTACCAAAGATCTCTTATCAAGCAATATTTTCGCCTACAGGCCAAACAAGAACATCAATGAACCCATCCTAGCTCTTAAAATCTATCTCCAGAAATGCTTTAGATATAAACTTCCTTTTATATTTACTTTCATAGACTATAGCAAAGCCTTCGACAACGTGAAACACGATGCCCTTTGGGAGGCTCTAGAAGAATGCATTATCGATCAAAACATAATTATTTTGAAATACCATTATAACAACTCTTGGGCCAGGTTACAGCTAGGCCAAACTTTCTCACCTTACTTCAAGATTAGAAGAGGCGTGAAACAAGGCTGCATACTATCACCTATTCTTTTCAATATAATCATAAAAGAAACCACGAGCACTATGAACCTAATTGATCTATCATCAAACAATAATAATATCAATCACCTAAGAATCATCTCGTACGCAGATGACCTGGTTTTAATTACCAAGTCAAGAGATGAGACAATAGACTTACTAACAAGTCTCTGCTTCCATAGCAACAAAGTCGGTTTAACTATCAACTTTAATAAACTTTTATTATGCCATCCCCAGAGGTGTCTATAAATAACATAACATTTAGGGAAATGAAATTAAAATAGTTAACAATTTTAAATATCTTGGCGTGCTTATCGACAATAAAGAAAATATCAGCGGCGAAATTGAAGCCCGACTAAAAAATGCCAAAATAACCTTCATGAAATACCATAAACTATGTACAGCCAGATAGGTCTCAGTCAAAACGAGCCGCATATTTAACGCTACAGTCATCCCAGTCCTCCTCTACGTCAGTGACACTTGGGAAATAAATAAATCCCAGACAAAGAAAATACAGGTTTTCGTAAACCGTTGTCTACGCCAGCTAAACGATATTTTATACCCAAGATTAATCTCAAATGCCAGCCTATGGTGTATTTTAAAAAATATCCTCATCGAGACTACTCTCAAAAAAGACGCATTCAACTCTTTGGTCATACCATAAGAAACTTCAGACAAAATATAGTTCATGAGGCCATAATCTGTCTCCAGTCTTATGGGGAAAACCTATGGTAAATACAAGTCATATTGGCTGTACAAAACGATAAAAGATGTCATAAGTTTAAATCTGATGATGGACCAATTCATACGCCTAAACAACGATAAAGGTTCTATAAAAAAGCTACTAAAAATCTAATCCAACTATCTAAACCCTCCAAATCTCTCCGCTCCTTCCTAAGCATAAGCATCACCTTCCTCCCGCCATGGTAAACATATATTTATTTATAAAACTCCTCATTTACCTAAACCTTGATATAACTATCCAAAACATACTTAACTTATGCTATCATCTCTCTATGCTAATATTTTTAAGTAAATAAGACAGTTTTTTAACACAATAAATCAATATTTATAATAAATAAACAAATTCTGTACAGATCATAAACTTAAAGTCAACCAATACCCCTCCCTATAATATACATTTTACTTAATTGGGTACCGGCTTTTCTCTCTCTTCTTGTTTCCTGTAGGCGTTTAAGCAAGTGGTTTTGCCTCTTGTGCACATAGCTAACTGCAGCCTGCCCAAAAATTTGTGGATGGACTTATCTCATAGGCTACCCCCAAATTTCTTAACCCAATTAGATGGGATGAGATAGTCCAAGCGTAGCTCTGCTGTTTCATATAGCGATAAAGGGCGATTGCACTTATTATGACGTATGATATAATACAGCCAACTGTGTTCCATGTTGTAATGAAGAACAAAGAGAAGTAAATGGTGTCAATTTGCTGGATGTAGATAAAATGTACAAGGAACATAGATTAAGAATAAGGAAAATGTGCCCGAGCTTCCAAAAAGGAGAAAAATGTTAGTTATTCTTATTTCAAATATTTTTTTAGAACCTACTGATTTAAATCAGGTATTCCAAATAAACCAACATCACTCAAAAAATACTATTACTAATAGTGGAAAAAAAATTTATTTAAAATTTTATAAAAAGGAATAGGTAGAACATTTAATTGATGCTGATGCCGTTTTTTGCTTTCCTTGTAGAATCTACAACCTATCCAATGGTGAATCAACCTATACTAAAACGGGTTTTACAAACTGGAAGATAGCTCTTGTAAAAAGGGCATTGAAAAGCATGATAATTGCCGAGTACACAGAGATTTTATGGATAAATGGAAATTAAATAATTTTAAAATTAACAACAACACATTCTCAAAGAATTGCAGTAATATTATACATAATAAAAATAATTATTTTTGAAATCATTCAACATCTAGTGTTAAAAGAATAGCCTCTTAGAGGGATTATTCTTTAGATGAGATATATACCAATTATATAAATTCTAACCGTCATCTTAAATCTGGTGGTTTATTTGTCAATGAAACATTAATTACTCAATATAAAAACCCTCTTTTTGAAGAGTAATTAAAAATATATACCACAACACAACCATATCTCCGAATTGTTAAAATGATTCCTCAACTGGTAAGTCAGGAGGTGACAAATAGAGTTGTCAATAATGAGGTTCAATTTTTCCAATA